CATAACCACTTGCAATCTATCATCAAAACAAATTATTTGAAAGCCAAAAGCAAGGCAAAGTCTGTTATGAAAAGGATTAATTGTTCCTCCAAATTTAAGAGAGAAACATTCCCAACATTATCTCCATCCCCCCTTCAAACCTGCAACAAACTAAAACAAGGAACATACAGAAAAGTATTTCAGCAAATGATTCTTGCTACACTTTGGAAATGCTGAAGTACAGCATGACTGTATATACACTCTGAGCATGGTCTCATTTTGTTCACACTTTTGAACACTTTTACATGTGTTATCTGAAGACACATTTCTTTTTTAAAGAGCATCCTATATAAAATTCCTTCAAGTCTGCTCTGTTGTCCCCAGAAAAAAGGGAAGCAGGGAGGCATGCAACTAAAATTTGAAATCTATGGGTTTTGGTGGTTTTGGATTTTTTAACACCTAAATAAAGAATATTAGAAAATATGCTTTCATGTCTATGAATATTTGGAGGAAAAAACATTTGTAAAATAAGATAAACTAGAAAGTTCAGTTGTGCACCACCAAAGGTGTCATTTTATAGGACAGAAAATGTATTACCAGTCATAATAATCTTTATGCACACCTAAGATACTTGAGAGGCTGTATAATGTTTAAACCAAAATTGGATATATTTTGTTCTGAGTGATTATGTTTCTTAATTACTCTTTCTATTGATTAAAGCATTTGGAAGTAGCATCTACTGGCAATTCTCTCCTAAGATATTCTTGTGTGATTCTGAAGTATCAGAGAATATTCAATTTGGTCTTCATCTAGTTCAGAAAATCTGCACAATTGAGGCTTTTACTCCAGACAAGCATTATCAGCCTGCAAGCCCCATTAGAAAGTGGATCTCTCAAATTTCCCCCCAAAGTTACAAGCTTTCCTATGATACTCTTTTTTTGACACAACTTTAACTTCCTTAAGAGTTTCTGCGTATCTCTACAGTGTCTGCCCATCCAAGTTTCTTTTAGGATACTATGGAGCCACTTACCACTTTGAACAAACGGCTATTTCTAACAAAAATGTAACTTTTAATATGGACTTACTGTAACTCCTCTAAAATGCATACATGTCATAGAAAAGACCATTTATCTCAGCATAACAACTGGTCATTATTGACCAACATCAAGGTCATTAGATTGGCAGATCAAAGTTACATTGCTACAGTGAAAATCTTTTAGTTCACTGAACAGTGAACAGATCGTGGCCATTACTTGCAGTGAACTATCTATGCAAGGCCAGACAGCTTATTTTCAACACAGCAACCAGCCACTGCAGCAGCCACTATTACAACTGAAAGGAAAGAAGTGCACAAGGAAAGAAGTTGCACTATTTTTCAAGTACTACGCTCCTGATATTTAACATTTCTGTACTTGATACTGGTTTGCACACACAGATTTGTCTAACGATTACACTGCTTCATTTCTGCACACATGCATAACAGCATGCACCTGAAGAGTTGGAAAGACAGCATAGAACTATAAATATTTTAGATTCAAAGTCTGATGTAAATGTAGATCCAAGTCTACCAGTACAAAACTTCAGATCCAAAAGGCTTAAGACCCTCTGTCAGTCATTACAGCCATGCCATAAACCCCAACCCAATGAAGTAACATGTGCTTTATTTATAAAAACATGTCCCATGGGCGGAACAACAACAACAAAAATCATTACAAGAACACAGAAAGAATGAACTGTTACTGCAGATCCTCTCTCCCTTTATCATCTATGTAAAGAGCACTTCTACTAGGGACGCCAATTCCTCCACTCGCTTAAACTGCACAGATAAAAAAAAAAAGGTGGATGGATAAACCACACAGGAGGCCCATTAATTCATACCACAGATAAGAAAGTATCTTCTTCTTTGGAATAATAAACTCTTCGAATCAGAACACAAAAATAAAATCACACATATTGCGAAGTCATTCCGTTTTCTGCACACTTTTTATAAAGCATTGTTAGCTAAGTTATAAAGAACTTGCAATTGCCAGCACTGAGAAGCAATGTTTATGGAGTTTACTGTCATCTTGAAAGAATGAAGAAATAAGAATGAAATTACCTGCTCCAGGAGATTTGCAGCTAAATCATCCAACATCCACTTCCATATAAATTATCTACTGTCATGCTATGGAACTACTGTTTTCCTTTCAACCCAGGAGGCCTCAATCATCAAAAGACTCACACTCGTACCTAACATCATGATTAACACTCTCATTAGCTTCAATGGACAAAACTGTTGCTTGGGGTCCAAATGATTCCAGTTTTACTGGCCACAAACCATCCTGTGACTTCACAACTTAAGTCGTAAAACCAACATAAAACTGCACAGACCTAGTAAACATCTAGCTTCAAAAAATATTCACATTCCTGTATTGTATAGGCTGAGACCTAAAATCCAAAGGAAACTTCTCCCCTGCTGCTGCCCTGGGATTCCAAAGTTATTAAAAAACCAACTAAAAACACCCTTGAGTGTAGGCACTGTGCAGCAACTCTGCTGTCTCAGTCCCATGACACTGGCACATGTATGTGAATCAACACATACATAATCAGGGTCAGAACTGCTACTGTACCTCCACAAACACTCAAAAGAAATGGTGTGGCCGTGGACAACAAACAGCAACCACAACCAAAAAGCAGTAGAGTTTGCTAGAGTGCATCAGGGAGTCTAGAGGCCACGTGAGTTCAGAGAAGCACTTTATCGGTCAGACACAACTTTTCCAAGTCTCTTCATGTTAGGGTACAGCAGTACCTCTTTTTAAATTAACAAGCCCATGCCTAAACCAAATATTTCAAGGTGGTTTTGTCTGATAATGAATAGCACTAAGCAACTTATTTATAAACATAATGCTTTATCACTAGGATGCTAGAGAAAACAGGACAAATAGCAATTGCTCTCCCCTATAAACATCCACCCACGTCCATCACAGATTTTAAATCCAACCATTTCACAAAGTTTAAAATGGTAAGACTAGCAATAAGTGAAAGAAGCAGTAAAACCTCTTCAATTGTTTCCCTTGGTGGTTTTGGAGTTATTTTAATTCTTTCTTAATTGTAGTTGTAACAAAAATAGTGCAAATTACATGCTTATTACACAGCCAAGAAGCTCCTAAAGAATTGCCCAGGCTCAGGTATGCATCTTGGTTTTGAAATCCGAAAGTAAATGCCTTGGAAACGTCAGCTGCTGCTGCAGTGCAATTTGACGGGATGCTACTTCAACATTCACTCAGTACAAAAATCACCAAAAAATTATCTGGAAGCAATAGTCTGCTAACATTTTTTTTACATTTTTATTACATTTCTGTCCTATAAAAAGATAATGGCTGCTGTGTGGATACCTCACATTCACTGGATTTCGTAATCTGTTCATAAACTGGTAATAGTCTACTTGAAAAAATAATTAGTAAAATTATCCTATTACTAAAAGCAAATATTAGTGGCAAGAAATGTATATTGCAACTCCAAAACTTGCTCTCTATCCTGAAAAGTTATTAAATTTCCATTCCCCAGACGAAGCTGGTATTTTTCTGTATACTGAAATGACCACGCCGCAGACTTATCGATTCCTCACTCTTCTTCGATGTGAAATCTCCAAAGAAGAGAGTCCGAAAGGAAGAGAGAACAGATTCAACCTGGCTCAAATTGCACGCCTGGGTAAGTCTTTTTAGTTACGATTTACCTGAACTCCTTTTCCTCGTCCTGCCCTTGCTAGGGAGGCAGGCACTCCTGCCGCCTCCTGACTCCCTCTTTTCCCTCCAAAGTCAGAGCTCGCTGAGCTGCACGGAGGTGTCAGTCCTCCCTCCCTCCCAGGCCCGGCGGCTCTTGCTGTCGGTAGCCCGCACGGGGCCGAGGAGCCCCGGAGTCATTGTGCTGCGGGAGCCGACCGCAGCTGTCAAGGCGTAGCGCAGCTCGCCGCGCCGCCGGGAAGGAGGACGAGAGGGAGGGTCACAGCCCCGCGCCGCGGTAGCGCCCGCCCGCCCTTCCCCGGCCGCGTTCCGGGCCCCGCGCCGCGGCTCCGGGCGAGCGGCCTGCGGGGCCGGGGCCGCTCCGAGCCGGGCGGGCGCCATGCTACAAACCAAAATGGCTGCCCCGGGGAGGGAGCCCGGCTCGGGCCTCCGCCGGTACCGCCGCTCCGCCCGCCGGACCTCGCCCAGGTACCGTCTCCGGGCCACGGCGACCGGCTCGGCCTCCGGGGCCCCGCGGACCCCGGTCGCCCGGGCAGCGGTGCCCCCGCACTCCGCGCGCGGCCCGGCCCCCGGAGCCAGCCGGGCCAGTCCCAGATCGCCCTCGCCCCCCGTACCTGGAGCTCGGCCCGCTCCACCTCCCAGTGTGCCCTCTCCATCTCGAAGCGAGCCCACTCGTGCTGGATGTAGTGCAGGATCCCCGGGATGGTGTAGTGCTGGGGTCGGGACAGCTCGGCGGGGCCCGCCGCCTCCTGACCGGCCGGGGCCGCGGGGCCCTGGGGCTGCGGCTGTTGCCCTCCTCCTCCGCCGGCTCCAGCCCCCACGCAACCCCCACCCGACTGCAGGTTCATGTTCCCACCCGCCTGCGGCGGCGGCTGCTGCGGTCTCGGGGCGGCCGCCATCCCACCGCCTCCTCCGGCTCCAGGGTGCTCGTCCATTGTCTGCGGGGAGCCCTCCTCCTCGTCCCGCGGCGGGGGCCGGGAGCAGGGGCCGGGGAGGGGGCGAGCGGCGCTGGCTGGGGCGGGGAGGAGGGGGCGGGCCGGGCGGGGGGGCTGCGCCGAGCGGGTCCGGGTGTCAGCGCAGCGCGGAGCCGCCGCCAGCCGCCATTACAGCCCCGCGGCCCTCCCACCCTCCCACCCGGCCGGGCGGGGAGCGAGCGGCGCCTGCCGGGAAACGCGGCCTGGCCTCCGCCGCCTCCCGCGGCCCTACGCGCCTGCGCGGGAAGGAGGTGAGCGCCGCGCCCGGTGGAGCGGGACGGGCCCGGGGCTGGCCCGACGGACCCAGAGCTGGCCGTGGCTTCCGGCGGTACCCGGGCTGGTCGGTGTCGGGGCCGGCGGTCTGGGGCCCGGCCGGGTGGTTCCCGTCTGCCCCGGGTGACAGTCGGAGGTGGCGGCGAGGCTCGCCCCGCCACTCGTCAGTGCCGAACGCCCTGGGAAGAGTCGGCGGGAACGCGGCCAGGCCGGGGCCTGCGTCCTAAAGCGGCGTGTAGTCGGGTCCAACACTTCAGTTTTTGAGACTCTGCGCGATTTAATGGTGCGCTGAGTTTGCTCCATAAGGAGGTGGTTTAGAAGAGATGTATTAAATTTATGGTATGTTTCTGGAAGCTGGCTAATCGTTTTCTGGAAGCTGGCTAAGCTGGTCGTCTTCATGATAACTCGGTTGTGATGTGTGTAATGTATTCTCCCCCTGAGGAGGACCATATTCGCTATTAGAAACTATTCCACGTGAGGCTGGTTTTGCAAGAAATTGCTGGCCTGTTTTATCTGGCTTAGTTTTATCGGTGATAGCAATGCAGTGTTTGAGGCTGTAGTTTGAATATGGTGAAGTTACCTCGGTTGCAAAATACTATTCTGAGATGTAATACTTAAAAACTATCGTCACATCCTATTTCAAATGATCCATAGGTCACTCATTTTAAGTAAGGTAGGTCTTTGGTTTTGCCTCTCTTCAAAATTTTTACATGCTGTACTCATTCACTACATGGGTAGTTTCCTAGAAAAGGTCTATCCTTATCAGACGTGGAATTCTGTTAATTACTGGAAAAAATTAATATTCGTCTCAGTGCCGGTGTTTCCTTTCTTTACCAGTCTCCCCTTAGGTGTGTGTTGATGCTTCAGTTAGTTCATCTTCCTTTCTTCTCCATTAAATCATTTCCTACTAAAATGTCATTGTCCATTCTTCCTGATTCCATACCGATTAGGCAATCTAAATCCAGCTCCTTTCCACCACAGCTGATTTATTTTCGTTGTCTACTGACAGATACCTAATCATTATTAAAAACTGAGACTTAGCTCATAACTAGTTTAACCTTTTGTTTAGCTCCAATTGTCCAGGACATTCCTCATTCCTGCATATGTGAGAGTTATTGGAGTTTAATTCTGTTACTATATTCAGCCAGCATCTTGACAACAGCAAAGGAAAACGTTTTTATTCTTTCCTTCCTCCCTTGACTTCCCTAGACAATTAAGGTTGCCTTTTTAAAAAATCCCTGTCCTGAAACTGAACACAGTGTTTTATTTGAAAGCCACACAGACATACTTGTTTCATCTTATTGACAAATTGTTTTGGGCACAGTAGTAAACTGGAATGCAAAAATTACTTTTACTGGTAAATTTAAAATAGTATGTGGTTTTATTAAAGCCTTGTCCACTGACACAACAAAAGTAAGAAGACCAAAGGTTCTGATTGTGTTTGTGGTCTTCATTTGCTACATGGTTTTGTGCAATAAATCTACAGGAAGCTCAATAAAAAAAAAGTATTAAAAATACTTGTTCCTGTGCTACACCTGCTTGTGCTTCGTGCCTGTCATTTGGCCATTTTAAAATTCACTAATGTTTTCATTCCAGTTTAACCCATTTTGTTCTACATTTGATGAAGGGCTTGGAGGGGAAAGCATATGGGGAGCGGCTGAGGTCACTTGGTCTGTTCAGCCTGGAGGAGACTGAGGGGAGACCTCATTACAGTCAATTTCTTCTTGAGGGGAAGAAGAGGGGCAGGCACTGATCTCTGTGGTGGCCAGTGACAGGACCAAGAATGGCCTGAAGCCATGCCAGGGGAGGCTTAGGTGGGATTCAGGTGGGATTCAGGAAAAGGTTCTTCACCCAGAGGGTGGCTGGGCACTGGAACGGGCTCCCCAGGGCAGTGGTCACAGCGCTAAGCTGAGTGAGTGACAGGGTTCCAGAAGCTTTTGGACAGTACTCTTGGGCACAGGATGTGACTCAGGATTTTCTGTGCAGGGCCAGGAGATGGTCTCAATGATCTTTGTGGGTCCCTTCTAACTCAGAATTTTCTATGATTCTATATTTCATACACAAAGTACCATTAGATCTCTACATCCAGAAAATCAGCTTGTTTAGAGTTGGACAGTGCAATACATTATTTGCCTATAGTTCTAGCTAACATTTATTTTTAATTCTTGGTGAAGCAATTATGTAATATATGTAGTCATGCCATTTCTTCTTTGTGAGATTTTATCTCTTACATTCTAGCTAAGAGCCCTAGAATGTTGCAAACCTTTCTTAGACTGAAATAACTAACATACTACTAAATCTGTAGACATTGACTGGAGTGGTTTTAGTTTGAGACACGTGTCTAATTTGAATCACAGCTGTACTGCAAGTACAGTTCAAACTTAGGTTGTGTTTCCTTTTTTTTAATATATTGTCAGATTATGTACAAGTATTGGTGAAATCTGTGACAAACTAAATTCAGTGCTTGTATCTATACCAGAGGAATAATTAAAATCATATTTAAAATATGCTTTATATTACTGCATGTAGATTCTGCAGGGTTGGCCTCGTGGGAGACTTCAGATCTTTTTATCTGCAGAACAGGTATTGCAGGCTTTGCCTCTCTGTGAGGTCTCAGCTGTTATCTGAAAAGGAGTGTCACTCAAACAGGGACAAGTTACTTTGAGGTGTCTCATGTGGTTATGCAGCCTGCAGAGCCAACATGTACTGGAAGCAGCTCTCGAACCATGTCAGCCTGACAGTGTGAATCACACAGGCCAATCACTGTAAGAATTTTCTCTCATAGATACTTATCTGCAAGAGATACTTTAATGAGGATGAGATCTAACATACCGTAACAGCTCATATTTAAATCACAGTAGATAAACTGTATGTCATCTGTATGCATGCCAAATTATCCTTACAGAAGATGTATTTTGTTAGGGAAGTAAAGGTCATTCCAGAAGGTAAATTTTTTTGAAGGAAAGTTTGCAGTTTCCAGACTTTTCACATCTTCCCCAAGCAATACCTTTAGAGGTTTTTATTTCTGGGGAGTCTTCATTCAGTGGTAGAGTTCCAAAGGTGTTTTGTAGATTGGCTATGCAGGAAGCAGATACCATAGGCTGTTCTGGACAAAATTTCTAATGCATGGTTGACTGGGATGGAGAGAGTTGGACTTGACAGTCCATCAGGATCTTGATAGTCTCTTTCAGTCTTTGGTTCCTAAGCACATTTGTGCAGATAGTTGTCCAGTGACCTGGAATGGGAGAGCCTATTCATTTCTGACAAACAGCCTTCAGATAGTAATGTCTTTTCATTACTAAAATGAGCAAAATAATGGCAGAGATATGAAAGGCTTGCATCTTGTCACCAATTCCCTTGAACCATTTGATTCTGCATGCATAAAAGCATCATAACCAGTGTGTATGGGCATGGATGCACACAGACATATGCGTGAGAATGCTTAGAAGAGTATGTAAGAGTTGTATCAGAAAAAAGGTTGCTGGCTTTTTGAGTACTGATTATTGATCATAAAAGGTAGCTTCTCAAATACAAAGAACTTGAAGGAATGGGGTTTCTTTACCCATCAACATGCACAGATATGCTTTTTGGTTTTTAATTATACTTCACAGGTTTCTTTATATCCTATATATGCAAAACTCATTTTAATATGTTTTCTGTATCTGAAAGCCAAGATGAAAAGAGAAGAAATAAATTATGTTTGTTAGAAACAAAACTCAGTCATTTCCTTTTTTTTCCCAAATTTTGCAAGCAAATGCTTTTACTACTACAAGTGATTTTTTTCAGAATTAATTCTAAAAGAAATAAAGAAACCCTGTAAGATATTTTTAACATTAACGTTATTCTCAAAGTCAGCTATACTTGCATACTTTTTGTAAATTTTTACAAAGTTATTGTTTGAACTTGTTGATTTATACCACTTTTTCTGCACAAAACTGTGTGCTTGTGCTGCCATTTATACAAACAAAGTTTCTGGTTAACATCTGGAAAGCTATCTTTGGGGCTGGTGGGAAAATACAGAAATAGCTACAGAAATAGCTACAGAAATAGCTACAGAAAGAATGGACCTCTTTCCTACAGATTCAATACCTGTTGATTATGTTCTTCAATTCTATGAATAATAATTGTCTCATAAATTACAGGTAACACTTGAGTGCTACTATGGTTCTACCTCTGTTACAACATTATTGTTTTTTTCTTTTTTTAATCTATTCTGGATAAGAGTATTTGTGCAGATTTTTAAAAAACAATCTGGTCTAAATATTTTCATCTGTAAAACAATCTAGGCCATTCATAAGGATACATGGAGATAAAATAGTCATAACATCAGAGAGGGATTAACCATGTACAAAGATTAGGTTAATAAAGGAATAATTAGGATTAGGAGCCAATCCTGCAATAGGATCATACGTATGGATTTGTCATATGTCTTGCTGTTACGTATTGCTTAGCAGTAACTCAAAGTACAACAGCTCTGTCAGTGCTCCTGGGATGGTTGTACTGTTCTCCCTGTCCTGTTCTCAAGCCCTTGGTCCCATTTATAACTAAATGATTAAAATAGCTTGGATGAAAACAGGGAACTGTTAATTCTTGTTTCAGCAGTGCCAAACACAATGATGAGGTGTAAAACTAAGATGAAAAAAGAAAAGCTGTCTATGCCACTGTTATTATCTGTTTAGCACGGACAGACATCTTTTGCAGTTGGTCTCCTGTGCCTGAGTTTGCTTAAAACAATGGGCAGCATTTCTTATATTGCTTCTCTTTCATGCCACAGCTCCTTCTTAAGTAGCTTTGAAGTTTCATGTTCCTTCTGCCGTGAGGTTGGCTCTTGCTAGGGGGCCTCATTCTGAGCTGGAAGGAGTTGTTTGTTCTTGTCCTTCTTGGAAGGTTTTTATCAAAAACTGACTGCATCATCTTAGTATTTCAACTTTATGCTTAAAAATATTAAGATATATTATTGCAACTCTAACTTGAGGCAGTAATTAAAACAGAGTGTGAGGGGGAAAAAAAGCTATATACTAAACACAACAAAGATTGTATATATGCTAGTCTTCCATTAGGTCATCAATGTCAGTCTACTTGCCATCCAACAGTGAAGATCCCATCATACATTTCTATCTGGGCCCTTTTTTTATCCTAATGACCTGGTTCATTCTTCCTCAGAGACAAACTTGTGCTGATCCAGAAGCCCTGGGTGCAGTGCACAAGCCGCGTGCAGCCAGCAGCAGCACTGACCAGCATCCAGGACTCTGCTGTCAGAGCGACACAACGGAAGTGAGTGCCTGAGGGGGCTTCATGTGCCTGGAAGAGGTGAGAAAGCTCTGAGATTGTCATGATTCCAAATAGATTCTGTTGTCTTGAGGACTGATCCTGAGCTAACTGCATGTCACTCAACTACGAATGAATTCTCAGTATCAAGTTGAATTAATAAAACCACATTTGAAATTACATGTGGAAATCCAAACTTCTTTGTAGATAGAGTAAGCCACAGTACACTGAGAAAAAGAGGGTCACTTCTTGAGATCCAAGTGGTGGTAAAAGAGGTGGCTTTTCTTTCAGAAAACAGTGACCACTGTGAATCAGAAGTCAGCAATAATTAATGTCAGCACAATATATTGGCCCTTGCTGCATCACTGTCATGAAAGATTTGTCACCCAGGGATGGTATATAGCCAGATAATTCAATTTGCTAATAATACGATGCAGCACCTGTGGAGCTTGCCTTGTATTTTTTTCCCCCCTTTTGCTTGTCTGCATTAAGATACACTGTTTGTACTCAAAGAGCTACACTGTATTGTTTTGTGTATTCCTGATAGTTTTCTGTTCACACTTTGTCACAGAAGCTGAGACTTAAGATGCACCAGGTAAGGACAAGCTCTTCAGAACTGGAAAAAAAGGAATAGCTTTTGCTGTAGTTGCTGTATTTCCAGTGCACAAACCTTAAGATTATTTGGGCCAATAAATCTGGGATGCAAATAGAGAGTCAGATGGAAAACATTAAAGAGATTGTTCTCAGGCATTAAAGTAAATAACCCAGAACTTCTATTTCAAAAAATTACATTTGCAGCTTACTCTATTTTCATACTATTCAAAACATCAGAGATGTCAATTGCTTAGCAAGCAGATTCTGACATATGCTGTGCTCTTTTTAATGCTATTTTCCACTGTACATTGCATGTGGTATGTTTATATTCTACAGCTATATTTCAGTGGCGTTGGGTGGATTAATATTTATTTACATTGAGATAAAGCTCTTTTGAGTAATTATTGTGAATCAGTTTCTCTATCTATTGAAGACCCACATCTAGTTTGCATTAAATGCAGAATTTACCTATGGCATATGTGTGGGAAATCAGGTAGCTCCTGGTCCAGCTCAAGATATATGTTGATACTGCAGATACCCAAATATTTAGGATTCTGCATTAAAGAAATGATCATCTGTTGTGGCCCATGCATTTCCCTTTGTCATCTCTCCATTCAATTTGTTACGACAATGGTATGAATGTAATTGTTAAATACAAGTCAGGTGGGAAAAAAGTGCTTTATAGGCAAATTTTGCTCTTAGTAGCTGTATTAGAGTGGTTTGATATTGGGCAAATTTCTGATGTTTACAGACCAGTTAGCATGCAGGAAGAAAATGGTAAGTAAATTTATGGTTATGAAGAAGTAATTGTTTACTCCTCTGATTTCCCAAATCCTACCAAGAATTTAATTTGATTGAAATATGAAAATTTTAAATATGAAAGCTGTTATTTATTAGGTAGTTTGTGACTAGTTGTATGGGGGGAAAAACTGAGTTTTTCCATGGGATGTGTGCAAAAGATTTGAGATTTTTTTTTTCTTGTGTTCTGTGTTTTGGCAATAAACTCAATCATAAATTGATAAATGCATACCTGGGCTGGATAGCTTTTAGGAAGGCTTTATTCCTATGTATTACTTCTATTTTTTTTTTTTTCTGCTCCCAGAATTACTCTTCTTGATTCCTGCACCCAAAATTGAAATCTACCACTGAAGTCAATATAAAAGAAATGATAAAATTTTTTCTTATGGTAAACAAACAAGGTCAAACAAGACTGTCCAGGTATTATGAGCATGTAGAAATTAATAAACGGGCAATACTGGAAGCTGAAGTAATCAAAAACTGTCTCTCCCGTTCAAAGGATGAGGTAGGTTTTGTAGGTTTTATTTTATCCACATTTCACATCTTTCCTATTGATAATTCTAAAACCTATCAGTGTCTGTCGCAGGTCATTATTTCATTTGTACCCATGATAAAAAAGATTTAGGTTCTAGATTATGGGTTCAGTCAGTTGAACTGTTATTCTGTATTGAATAAATGTTTTTTTTGAGGCTTACAGAGATTTTGGAGTTGTGTGTATCACTGTCAAGAAGATTCCTCTTCTTTGTTTGAAGAAGCTCAGAAGTCAGGAAATACTCATTTTATCCTTGTATTGCTTGTCTGATAGAGATGGATGGAGGGATATTACTGTTTTGCCAGAAGGTAGAAGGCAGAGTAATGACAGCTCCAAGTTTAAATTTAGGGTAGAGGATTCCAAATTATGAAAACATTATCTAAAGCACAGGGCAGGTTTGGAAACACAGATTTTTAGGCCTCTGTATTAGACTCCTTTATTCAAAAAAAGTGTTCACGTCTTCTGCAAGAAAGTCAGAAAATATAGAAGTTGGAAATTTTTCTGTATGAAAGTTCAGATTTTCATTGCTCTCTTAATTAAACCGTTGGTTCTTTAAGAACAGCATCAAACTTTTGCAGATTGACTTGAATTACAGGAGAAATATATAACTTCGATAGTGAATGAAATTTTTTGGTTTGTGTTCTGAAGTCAGCTTCTTTACTTTTCATTAATGATGTGTGTTCTTGCACAGCACTCCTTACATACTTCATTCTAGGAAACCTCAATAAAAATAGTAGTTCTTGTAAGTCCCGTAGTTAACAGCTTTGGCTAAAGAAATGACCGTGTTGGTGCCGCTCCTGCGAGGGCATTTCCGAGCGCAGGAGCTGCCGGCGCTGCCGGTGCCATTTCGGGCGCCGGGCGGAGTGACGCGGAGAGCAAAGGCAGGAAACGGCGCCATCTCCTGGCTCTCTCCTCTTGGGAAACACCTGTTAATTCACCACTGGATCTGGAACTTTTTAATTTCCATTTTTACATTAAAATATTGGTAATTTTTTTAAAACAGGAAAATTACCTTTAGGTCTCTTTTTGAAAGGGCTTGCAAATGAAAATTATGGGAAAGTAATATGTGCTTTTATAACCCCAAACAAGTCACTTTAGTCCTGCGTGTTTCAGTTTTTCCATTTAAAAAGTGGTGGCACGTTTTCTGCCAGCAGATGAAAACTGTGGTGTAAAAGTTACCATACTAAATTTCTTTCAAGTTGAAATTGAATCTCGGGGAATCCATGTTCTCTGTCTTATGAACTTGAAACCTCAGGCCTTTTGAGCAATGTCCTTTACATTGTTGTATGCTTAAATGGCAGTTGCTCTATTTGACTCATTTTGCTTCTGCCTAGTGCTCTTTCATTGAGTATAAGGACTTCAAGCTGGTGTACCGACAGTATGCAGCTCTTTTCATAGTTGTTGGCATCGACCAGACAGAGGTAAGAAATTATATATCCTCTTGTAATGAATGTTTATAGTGATTATCACAGGCTAGGCTCTTTATCCAGTATGGATTTTTTCAATAGCAATTAGAGAATTTCAAGAAGTCATTGTAAAAAAAAAAACACAAAAAAAAACCCAAGCCAAAAAAACCAATCCCCTCCCCCCAAAATTTTTATTTCTGTGAAGTAAGAGAGGTAACGAGTGTTACAAAAAAAACCCAAAACACGTGTGCTATGTTTGACTTTCGTCTTTAGCAGTAGATTGAACTGTTACCATGAGGTAGTCTTCCTGAGCCCTGTACTGATTCTGCACTAATTTATGTGAGGTGGGTTCCTAAACAAATGTTAACATTACAGCCGGGTCATCTGTCTCATCTGTGATGACTTCTCACTGTTTTTAATGTCCTTCGACAAAGAAAAAATTCCTATGCTGTCAGCTACAAAGATGCCAATTTATTTTGCTTTTCAAAAAGGGAAAAAAGAAAGGTATCTGAAAGCTGACAAGTACTAGTATTTCATTTGTTCAGGTTGCACCTGGGAGGCTTTAGTGTTTGCATTGATAACTGGTTCTCAGAAATTAATACAGCATTTACTGTTAGAGACCTTAACAGGGTGGTGTGGAAGGTAGCTGCTGTCTACCACAGTATCTTCAAATCAGGCAGGCAATTTGGGACAAATTGCCCAGCAGAGGCTGGCTCAGTGCTACAGCTGGCTGGTGTGACTTCAGCATGGGTAAGCTTAACCTAGTTAGCCGTGTGTGTGATAGAGCTGAGCTGGGAGGGGTGGCACAAAGGCAGCAGGGGGCTGGCAGCAGCCCAGAGCAGAGAATCCACTGGCTGTTGCAGAGCTGCTCTGTGTGGCTGCCCTGAGTGCTGCCCAGCTCTCAGCACCTCAGCTGGGCAACTACACGGCCTGAGCAGAGGGCTTACTCTATTGTCTAGTGGCTTTTCATTCACCACAAACTGAATTAACACAAAGAATACTACTACATTTTCTAAATATTGATTTAATATTCAGTTGGTTTTAATTTCAGAATGAAATGGCAGTATATGAACTAATTCATAATTTTGTGGAAGTTTTGGACAAATACTTCAGCAGAGTGGTGAGTGAGACACTGAATTTGTTATGAAACATGTTTTCTCTTTCAAAACTTCGGTGAAAGTGCCATTTCAGAGAATAAATCAAAGGAGAAGAATGTTTAATATTTTAGAATTTTAATAAATATTATCCCTGTGGGGAAAGGTAGTATGAGCTGGTTTTTCAGAGAAGTAAAAGTATATGTGGGTCATAAGTTATCAGACAAGGAATACCAGAAATATTTCTGTTAGAAAAGCATGGGTTTATGGGGTTTCTTTGGGTCATATACTCTTAAATTAGCCATGGGCATTTTATGTTTTAAAGAAATAAAGAGGTTTGACTTTGCAGTTCTTATGCAATTTATAGCATTACATTCCCCAAATGAACTTTATTCATGATTAAGATGGTGTAAGCATGAAGCAGGGAACTGACATCACTCTCACTGAATAAGATCAGAGGAATGGAGCAGAAGAAACCTCAAAAACCAGTCTGTACTTGTAGGCCCCATATGGTTGTCAGGCAACAGTGGATATCTGATAAAACAGCTATTATAGAGATAGTAATTTTGTTAAGGATTCAACATCAGACATGGCTCCACTTAAAATGACACTGTTCCTTTTGGTGGGAGAGTTTTTTGCTTGCTTGTTTTTACAAAGTTTGAAAATGCAGCATTGTAATTCTGGTTAGAAAATTTGCTATTTAGTATAGGGTTTGTAATAATCTTGTTACAAAAAAAAATTGACTGCAATCATACTTTGGTGCAGTTTCAGTTAACCTTTGCTGAAATGTGTTGGCTGTTCCTCTCAGAAAAGAGGACTGTCTCATTTCCCCTGTAGTCCATGTACTTGAGGGTATTACACTGGTGACTGTACATACAAGGTATCAGTATGCAGGGTCTGTAACTGCTTCCCCAGCTCTAGTACCATAGCAGGCAGGGCAGAGCTCCCTCTGTGAATTCAAGGACATGCTTGAAAAAGTCATCTGCGCCCTTCACTGTTTAGATGCTTGGCAAATCTTTTAGGCTGTTATCTCAACGTCACCCCAGCCCATTGAAACTGCTGCTACTAAGTATATCACTTTCTGACTGCACTGAGTTCAGAATTTCTCTTAAAATTGCTGATTGTAGTCTCAACCTAAGCAGTGATAACCAAGAATGGAATTAGATCTCGGCAGCACAGGAATGCACAATAAAATTTAGTCACATCTTATTTGTCTGATTGAGCTAATAGTTGCCAACCACCTCTCAAATTTTATTCAATTAAAGCAGAGCAAAAATAGATGTAGTTCTTATACATATAAATGTAGTGTATATATATGATCTTTTGACCACACATATAACCCAGCCACTGAGAGCTGTTAGAAATTTCCTGAGTTCATCATTCCAGAGGGGTTTTTTATTTTCTATAGTATTTTGGGTTGGAGACTAGAGGAACCTAAAAGTGGAGAGCTAAAAGAAATCTTTGATGGTTCTGGTTTTAATATCATATAACACAATAAATGGCAGAGCACTAAGACAAGGGCTGCAATTCTAGCTGGTGTTTCTGTCAGTAACCACAGAGCAAGAAAGTATAAATCTGTACTTGTACAGATTACTCTTTAAGATTTACAGAATTTTAACAGAATCCCAAATTATGATGATGGCAACAGAGACAGAACTCTGGGAAAGGAGAGAACATGTGTCTCTAGAAGGACATTTTGTCATCTATTATTTTTAGACCTGAGAGCTTTAAACATTCTCACGTACTCTATTTTTATCTAATGGAGTTTACAGAGCTTGAATTCAGATATGAGAACAAACATTAATGGAATTAGGGAGAAAGCTTTCAAAGTGGTTTGTGAGATGTAATTCTGAGTCCCCTTCACTTTTGTATTTTCACTACCCAGGAAAAATTCTGCATACTGTTCAGAATTCCAATTTCTCCAACTACTTTTTGATGCTGAGAACACTTAAACTGATCGTACCCTTAAAATGCAACTTTTGTGATGCATTAAAAACTTCTAATTGAAGAATGGCAGGGTCACTCAGCAGAGGCCTGTAGACTAGAACTACTCCAGTTTAGATCATCTGTAGACCACAAAAGTAGTAGCAATTTTAGCAGTAATACCTTACCAGCTTTACTCTGCTTTAAAATCAGGTTTAGACCATGAATGAAAAACACTTTATCAAACTAAATTCTCTAGGTAGCAGGTAAAGATTGCCTCTTTTAATAGAGACTGGGGAATCTCCACCCAACTCTGCAAGATCTTAAGTGCTAAGGCTAAGTGATTAATTCTAAGTTTAGCTATTTAACTGAGGCACCTAAGTTAGAAATTTGGTCATCCTAAGCTCCCATTACTGGCAATGGAGACTGATGAGTATCTCGAGAAAGTGAGTCATGCCTCAAGTGTGCCGAGTCAACTGGTGAAGATCCCCATCCCTTCTGCTGACTGCAGAGAGACCACGAGGGCTTGCAACTCAGACATTTTGGTTAAATGAGTAATACTGCTTGGGGTAAATCCAAAAATAGAAGGAAAATTATGACTATATGAAGAATTGTGTTGCTGGCACTGGAGAAGACTTAGAAGGGCTAAGTGTCCAAAGCTTGGAATTGCCTTGCCTTCCCTAATATGTGCAGCCACTACCACAGCCATGGGTATATACAGTGTCTAGATTTTGCTGTTGAAATGATCTGCAGCAACAACTTCAACTGTGTAAACTTGGCATTAACATCCTGGTTTTGCAGGAGGAAGAGAGAATATAGGGCCAGAACCACCATAATTACAGCTGCTGGTTTTCCACCCACTCACTCAGATGGCACTGACTATATTCAAATGGTTACTTGTAGGTGACTTCAGTGGGTTTTTTCAAGTAAAACATTAGCTTTGATTAAAGAGACAGGTAACACATGTAAAGCAAAGCAGTGTTGCAGGAAAGAGCATGTAATTGTCCAATCCAGAAGAGAAATCTGAATCACTCTAAAATTTTCTATCGATATTTTGAAGACTTTCTTTATCCTTTGAAGGGATATGTAATGTTTAGTGATTATGAGATCATCTGAGATAAGAGATCAAACTGTAACTAATGGCTATCTCTTTTCCCTGCAGAGTGAATTAGATGTATCCTTTTCAGTATCAGGAATGCATTTGTTACAGTATGTATGTTGCAGTTCATACCATCCTCATAGCACTGACTGTCACTCAAGTCAATGCAGATGTTCACCAGTTTTGCACTTGGAGTAAGTAGCACCATTTTGGCACCTTTCTGAAAGCATGACTAATGTTCACATGGGTCACCTATTTAAATCTTCCATCATTAAGATAGGCCTGGTTCCATTTAAAATAAGACAGAGACCTTGCTTTGAGAGAATGAAGTACGTGAAAAGATAATTCATGAGGAACTTTCAGGCTTAACTAGGCTTACTACTTTAAGGTTTCAGTTTGAGTTTACAATAAAATAGATATTGCAACTACTGTAATAACAACAGAACAATACTGTAATAACAACTCAATGTTACAGCTGTAATGTCTAGAGCCAAATAGCAGCACTATCTGTAAGATTATGTTTGCAGTTTGATCTTACTTCAGAAAAACAAGAAGTGAGATTTAATTTCTGTATCTTTGGAGGAAGGGAAAAACCTGGGAGGGGAATATTCAGGAAACCAGGTATTAATTTCTTTTCCCACTCCTCCCCTTACACTGCTGTATTTTCATGTGTATGTTTTGCAGGGTATTAATTAAAGTACAAGTTAAAACTCACCCAAATACAAATACCAAAATACAGTCCAAAATACAATTAAACAAAAATAGCAAGTAAATAAAACACAATACTGGAAAACTTAGACCAGGAGAATGTAGCACAGTCTTCCTTCTGTTATTCCAATTCCACTGTGTGTTCACTCTACTCCAGCAGTTCTTATGCTTATGTTTGTTGTTGGTTAAATGCAGATCTGCTGGTATAAAGAGTTTCAGTTACACACCTGAAATACAGTTGCCATCTTGCAATCAAGTACTGTCAAGTAATTTAGTTTATTTACTTTATGAATTACCACTTATGAAGAACATAGAAAAAGTCTGTAATTGTTCTTACTTTAACTGAAAAAGGAAAAAATAAAACAAAAAACAACAGGAAATAATTAATTTCACTTTTGAAAATATTTTAAAGCTTGCTACATGCTGTAACTCTGTCTCATTTACTGAGTTAGTAAAACACCCTTAAATTTACTATGAAAGAGCAATAATGACAATAATAGTGTGACGGGACACTTAAGGTGGGTGAGCGATTATAGAAACACAATTTTTTTTTATTCAATTAGTTCTAATTCTGAACTATGTATTTATGTATATGAGCTTTGCCAAATTAAAGACTAACATGACCTATTTAGTAATTACACATGAAAAGAATCCCCTGTGTTTCCATGTAGTGTACTTTGAGCATGCAATTGCCTGATTATCTGAGTCATTTGATGAACTGACGATTCTAAATTCTGCTGCCTCTGCTCAGCGATTTCCTACCAAGAGCTCTACACCTTGAGCTACTCCCACTAGTCCATTTAATAGCTGAGAAAGGCTGCTGCATATAACAGAATGGTTTGGGCTGGAAAAGACTTTAAAGGTCATCTAGTTCCAACCCCCTTGCCATGGGAAGGGACACCTTCCACTATACTAGTTTGCTCAGAGCTCTATCTACCCTGTGTCTTGAACACCTCCAGAGATGAGACATCTATGATTTCTCTGGGAAACATGGAGTAGACCCTCACCACCTTCACAGTAAAGATTTTTTTTCCTAATATCTAATTTACATTTGCTGTCTTTCATTTTGAATCCATTTCCCCTTGTCCTGTCACCACATGCCCTGGTAAAACATACCTCTCCAGCTTTCTTGTAAGGCTCCCCTTCAAATACTGGAAGACCCCAATTAAGTCACTCCTAAATCATCTCTTTTCCAGGCTGAATTTATCCCAATTCTCTCAGTCTTTCCTCATAGGAGGGATGCTCCACCCTTCTAATCATCTTTGTGGCCCTTTGCACTCTCTCCAGCAGGTCCATGTCCTTGCTGTGCTGGCACCCCAGAGCTGGTGCAGCACTGCAGGTGGGGTCTCAGCAGAGCAGAGCAGAGGGGCAGAATCCCCTCCCTGCCCTGCTGCCCACACTGCTCTGGATGCAGCCCAGGACACGTTTGGCTCTCTGGGCTGGCAGTGCCCATGGCTGGGTCATGCCCAGCCTCTCACCCAGCAGCACCCCCAAGTCCTGCTGGGCAGGGCTGCTCTGATCTGTCCATCCCCAGCCTGTGCTGGTACTGGGGGCTGACCCAGGTGCAGCACCAGTACTTGGGCTTGCTAAAACCCATGAGATTCCCATGGGCACACTTCTTGAGCTTGTCTAGATCCCTGTGGATGGTATCCTGTCCTTAGTCTGCACTGTTTGGAGAAGTTGTTGCATTATATGCCAACATTATTGTTGGCAACGGGTGCAATTCCGTGTCTGGATGATTCCTGAAGTAGTTCATCTACATGGGTCTCATGTGCGTGATGGTGTGAATATAAATATTTAGTAAATAGGAGTGTGCATTACTAACTTACTTGGTCACAGTGGAAAAAATACTGGAAAAGCTCATGTCTGATATGTCTCTCAACACCTATGACATATGCATGAAGTATGTAGTTTCAGCATTCAGAAAGGCACTTTTTTATGATACACATTTCAGGAACAATTTTATAAGAAAACATTCTACTTCTATAAATGTACAAAATAATTCTCCCATTTAGGAAGAAGAGCTTAATTCTTAAGCTGAAAGGCTATCAAAAATAGTCAAAATGAAATAAGATACCCTCCTTTATTAAATGTAAAGCGGAGGTGTAACTAGGAGGAAGTGGGTTGTTCAGATCTGTATTTATTTCTGACAACAGCTTGAATAGCTGACCCAGAAGAATAATTTGGACAAGTGCCTTTAGCTATTATTGCAGTGCAAGAAATAAACCATCAACCTGCCTTTCATAATGTGAAAGAAAATATCCTCCCCTGCAATTGAACTGTTGCCTTTGCCAAATGGTCTCACATTAACTCTTGTGCTCAGTGCAGTTAGCTTGGATGCAAAGTATCTGCTGGAAGAGGTATCATCTGAAGGTCTGCAACAGTGAACACCAAGTAGTGTTTACAGAATCTTTGTTTACAGAGTATCTTGCAGGACACTCATGATTTCCTGAGTGTCTGCTATTATTTTTGTGTACAGATCAATAGGAAGTTTATTTTAAATGTGACAGTGGCTATTCTATATAGCCAGTAGTGTTTACTAACATGAAAAAAAAAATAGCAGGAAATTACAAACTCAAAACCCATTAGAAACAGATCATAATTACTAAGGCTATTCAGCCATGCACCAAGCAAAGCCCAGTTAAAATCCAAGGGCTGAGCCTATCACACAACTGAGATGTCCCTGGAGCCCTCACCAAGCCTGTAGCACAGGCACTGGTTCTTGCAGCTCCCAGACATTATTCCAATATTCCTGGCAATGCAGCTACATCAGAGGCAGAACTCCAGCTTTCATTTAGGTCCACACCTGAATTCATCCAGGGCATCTACACTGTAGCTCACGTCATGGTCTCTCTGGAGTCTGATGTCAGGAAGGGTGCCTTGAGCAGCACAGGGGACTGGGTCTGATTTGGATCCTTCCCAACAGGATTGGTACATGATGTTGGTATGTATGACATTGATGCTAAACAATGCACAGTTCTCTCATGTTTCTGCAAAAATGAACACAGAATACCTATTGGCTAAGTACTTGAGAATAGCCAGCTTTTTACAGAAGTTTTCATGTGTCAGTTGTGAACCACTTAGCCATTATACGATGTTCATTTTCAAGAGTCAGTTGCACACTTAAAGAGTACCTAAGCTGGAATGACCTATCATTCCTAAAGTTGTTTGGATTGTTTTTAAAATATCAGTAAAGAGTGTTGTTAGGCCAGCTGAATAAACAAATACTGAAATTGTCCTCGGGGTGTTGTGTTCTAATGTGTTAATAGTACTGGATAAGCTTCCCTTTGTCTATAAAATAAGTGGGAGGGGTTTTCTGTAGCACTAAAACTCTAGCTTGGGTGGTGTAGGAACTATTTTCTTGCTATGATGAGGACAAAAGAGCCTATAAAAACACAAGTGTTAGAACAGCAACTTTAAGGAACAAAACGCTGGTATGTATGACAGTTTCTAAAATTCCTTTTAGAAATAGAAAAGTTACCTTTTCTATTGCTTGAACTGGTGAAGCAAAGCTTGCTTGAAGACACATTATTAACTTCTAGAGAAACAGATATTTACGCTCCCCTTGTGGGAAGGGAGGGGGTGACAGAGTGCTCTAGGACTAAGCATCTGAAGAATGTTGTCTTGATCCAAAAAAGCCATGACATTCCATTGCAACTAGCTGCTGCTGCTCCTCCTAGGATAGATAAGAAGCTGTGATACAGGGAATACTTCATGTGAATCAACTATTCTTCAACTCCCTGTGGGATAACACTGAGGATACCATGCATTTAAGGAGTGAGAAAATTGAATGATGAATCTATTCTGAGAATTTATAAGGATACACTTCAGTTGTACTGTAACATAAGTGGGTGAAATGGAGACCTATAAAGACTAGCTTAAAATTAGCTTCTAGAATTTCACAGAACTTGAAGGCACCTTTGTCTCCTGTTTAATATCAGCATAGTCATTTGACGAATAAATGGTCAAAAAAGCATTTTACAGGTTTCAGTGCCTTAAACATGCCTGCCATTAGATAGGCTAAAAACTATTGAAAGTGAACATTGGCAAAGTAAGTCAGAATGTGTGAGTCTCGACTAAATAAAGAAGCAACTCCAGCTAATCTCTAGCTGAAGATGAATGTACATGATGGAAATCAAGGGCTGTATATTCAGTAGCAAACCATCTGCCCCATATGTACCTGTACTGTAATCTACAAAGCCTTTGTTTGTGTTCTTGGGTGTGTTCTGTGATCACAAGGTGCACTTCAGCATCTCTGAAGCCTGGACACACCCTTGAATTACTTGCCTGTAAAAACCTGAGATCTCTTAAAATGCCTCCATATGAAGAAGTTATTTATTACATGCAAGTCCTAACTATGCCTTTTCCACTTCTTTCCTTCCCCTCTTCCCTGCTCAACTGTCTATATATAATGTTTTGGGAAAGGAGACCTCTTACTATGCATTTGCCATAAAAACTCTGGGATAATAGAAAGTACCATTAATGTCTTTAAGAAGAGGAACTCTTTAGGTTACCAACAGCCAATATAACATTTAAAATACCAATTGTGTAGGTACCATTTACTTCTGCTGCTTGGTACACAGCCTCTGCAGCATTGCCAGAAATTGGGAAGCCAAAGCCAGGAGGGCTCATCTTTGCCCAGGCTGGCATGCAGAGATGAACACGTTTTCCTCTGCATTCTTGTTTTTCAAAGTCCTGTTATCCTTTGCATGCATCTATTGAAAGTCCCTTAATGTTCTTTTTGTGGGCAGACAAGATTCTTCCTGGAAGCAGGACCTTAAATGACAGCTCTGGGTGGAGCACATGGCAGTGCAAACACCAAATACAGCTTTTTCCTGTTGCCAGCTGCTCAAACTGGTTTGCTTTGCTGCTTCAGTTGGGTGTGGATCTATGACTCCAGGGCTTTAAACCCTGAAATTTGGGGTCACTTGCCAAACAAGTAACAGGTGAGGAGGATGAGCCTTGCTAAGGATCAAATACATATCTCTCCCTGGGCAGGTCATTCAGACATGAATGGCTGAGCTGTGTTGGGCAAGATGTAACCATAAAGCATAGGTGAAACCTAGAGGAAGGGGAAAAGAGCCAGGCTTGCTCCCTATACAATCCAATTGTTTGCCAAGAACAGTGTGGTGAAGGGAGGTGGGATGTTGGGTTGAGGGTAGAGGTTAAAGAATGCTTTGGGACCTTCCAAAATCAAATTGATGCAGAAGTCATTCCACTTTTCTGCAGTGGAGGAAGCCCATTTGGAAATAACCTGGAATGGCCTGCAGGGAAACTGACATCTCATTGAACTACACTGAGAGTGGAACAGCTCCAAGATTTTTATTGGCGTGGGTAGAGTTTTCCTTTGACATACTGTCAGCTCTTCTAGAAATACAGCAGGGGAAAAAACAGCACTAGATGTGATTTAAATGTTTTCCCAAACAGGATGATGCAGAAAAATAAGATGGGAGTGGCAGGTTGCATTGTCACTGATCCTGGTTGATTAAGTCGTCTGGGTTTTAGAGTTTTGGACTGCTAGAGGAAAGTCTGGACTCTGCCTTGGGAACTGGGGCAGTGTGAATCAGTGGTAGAGTGTAAAAATTAAAAGCCAGGAGGAATTGGCTTTCTCACTTGTTGAAACCTGAATGGAATGTTATCTAATTTCCCTAACAGATCTTGTAGCCCAGTGCAGAGCAGTGCCAGAGGTGAACTAAGTAGCAAAACAGCTGTCTTTCTAAAAATTCCCACATTGCTGTAATAAAGAAATCTTAACTTCTCAGATTAAAATATTTCTGTAAAGGCTGATTTACTCAATAAGTTTATCACAGCAAGAAATTTGTCTTCAATCTTTGAACTGCCAAGCCAAGTAAAGCTACCACCTTTGTCTCTGGTACCACAAAAATAGTGACTGTTTGAAGTTTTAAGGACAGCACTGCCCCTCAGTATCAAAAGGCACGAGTCCAATTTTTAGAAACAATGCAGGCCTATGGTCAGATTCAGGAAGAAGTCTGGTATTTAAAAAATAATTTAGAATTAAATTAGGTAGTTAAGTTTAGATCAGCAAATTAGAAGCTGTCTGATGAACCATGGCCATCCCCAAGGCCCTGTTGACAGCTATAGTTTCTCACCTAGCAGTAGCTAGTAGAAAAGTTATTTGGAGACCTGAATTGTGCTACTACACATATCTAGACATGCTGTGCTCTTGGTGAAGCAGAACATGTCCTCTGGAGCAGTGTTACAATTGCTTCCCCTTATAGGCAAATACACCGTAGCACTGAGTTCATCCCAGAGCATTCACAGCAAGGAGGAACAAATACATAGATACCTGGCTCCTAAGCTGTTGTCATTTGCAGTTCAGAACTCACACTGCTCCAGCTCTTTGGCAGAGCAGTAGGGCTGACTGCCAAAACCAGGTCCTCTGGCAGTGAGGAGACAGAGCAGTCTTCTTCAATGCCTGAGTCATGTTCAAAAAATTAGACTGATATTTATCACACTGAGCAGAGGAAACAGCTGATGCCTTAAAAAAACCTGATTCTTGCAACTCCACTGATTAGCAGGGAAGTCCACTAACATAAATACAAAGACTACAGCAAAATCAAGGCTGTCTTCCTGAGTTCAATTCATGGGGTCATAAATAGCAGAATGGGAGAAAAGGCACTCAAGAGACTCTTCAAAATGGGGGGAAAGTACTGAGAGATGTATTTAGCAGTTACTATACGAAGTCTTGCTAGCTCCACTGCAGCAGTCCTCAATACATGGGCAAGATTTAGAAGGTACAAAATGAAGACAACACAAATCTGTTGTGCTCAGCATAGAACACATGTAAAGAGCAGCAACAGGTGGAGAGTAAGGCAGATAAAGGGTTATTCATGCTCTGTGTATGTATGTCAGTGAGGCATAACAGATGCACCCAGCAGGCTGCTTTGCTGTGCCCGTTTCCATTTCAGGTTCTGGTGAAAAATGTCAACATCCGAGTCTTTTTTCACAGCCAAACTCTTGGCAGTTGTTCAGTGGATGCACTGGACACTCACGTCTGCATGTATGCACTTGTGTGTCATGAATGCCAACCCCTTCATACCCCTGAAGGCCTGCCATCATTGTTTTGAGACAGATGCTGTTAGATAAAGTTACTGTTTCCCTAGCTTTATTAAAATAATGGTAAATAAACTAGAATAAATTAAGAAATACCTATTTTTGCAAAATTTTATTAAAATCTTAGGTGCCTATGATTTTTTTTTAAATTATCTTCACATTGTTCAAAATACACTTAACTTGAAATATTTCTAGATCATGTTCAATTTGGACAGAGTGCACATCATTTTGGATGAAATGGTGCTAAATGGTTGCATCGTGGAAACGAACCGGAACAGAATTCTTGCCCCTCTGTTTGTGCTTGACAAAGTGGCAGAAGGCTAGGAAGATGCAAGAGTGACTAAGGTGTTTTACAAAAGATGGCAAAAGCATCAAGAATGTGCATATAGCAGTTTTCTGCTGCTGCAAGACTGACTCACACAACATTCAAATTAGTCAGAAAATATTTTCCATTTCTCTTATATGTGTACCCAATGGGAAAGATACAGCTAAACATTTGGATGCATTCAGATGCAGCTTCACTGATCCAGCAGAAACATTCCTAGAATGGTCAATAATTTTGAAACATTTTGAGGATGAAGAAATGGAAACTTACCATGACTGACTAGGTACCACTTTGAATTATGTAGTGTCATGCCAGACCTAGAAGATATAAAACATAGAAATATAAATTCAAACTGAGTTTCAGTCCTTCCCTTAAGCACCAGCTTGATTTATTTTCATACAAATTTACAGTTAATAATAGTTCTGTGACTTTTATGCCCACTTTTTAACTATAGTCATCCTTCATCAAAAAGCTGTTTTTTCATCAAAAAAAGGTTTCCCTCCCTTTGCAATGCAAGTCATGGACACAAAAAGAAAAGTACAGATGTATTAAGTATTTATGCATACTTTGCAAGCTGTAACTGGAATAATTTAGCACTTAAATATTATAATATTAATAAAATATAATTAAAAACGGAATTTAAATGCTCTTTTCTCATGTTTGCTTCATAAATTACACAAAATCTTTTCTTATTTTGGCACACCAGTGTATTTTTTTTCTTGTATACACTATCTATGCATCAAAATTAAAACTTTTACCAAAGATGAGTAATAATAGATATGCAAGTTCTCAGGACCAGGTAGGGATGTAATGAAGTCTCCCTTCTTGAGCAGGAAGCCATAGCTATGCTAAGTTGCATTCCCAGACATCCAGCATGCTGATTCACACTGCACATGGCTCTGTAAGTCAGGGGACAGTTGGTAATCTCAGCTCACTTCCACTTACCTTTCTAGAACTTGTATCTGCATCCTTCTTCTTAACCTCCAGCACAACCCTACATATAACCTGATACTGAACAAGCATATTGTGTGTGAAATGACACACTGGCCACATCAATACCACTTAGAAACCATGGTCTAAGGAGCAAAGAATGTGGTGTGTGAGAATAATCCACAGGGCTTTCACACAGTAACACGCTTATCAAAACAAGATGATCTTGGGACTGGAGTAGAGTTGCATAAACCTGGACACAGGTGTTTGACTGAAGCACAACAGGTACAGAAGTGGGCAGGATGGTGGATATTCCTCTCCAATTCTGCATTAGGGAAAATCCAAGAGACAATGCTGTAAAGTCCTACAAACAATGCCATGAAAAGAAATCTGGCACCAACCTCATGTGCATGTGCAAGGCAGAGTCTTCTGGCAAGCTCCTCTCTATAGTAGCCTGAGAAAAGGTTGTTACCAAAGATGACTGGCACAAAGCAAAACTTATTACATAGATTCAACAATAGCCTTTTAATTTTTTTTTTCCTGGTATCAACGCTACATAAAAATCTTTAAAACCACAGTGTCATCTTGCTTTATCTTACTGTACGCCACTTTTTTTCCAATAAATATCAAGTGCTAACACCAAGGCAGCCCATCCATCTCCGCTAAAGCTGAATCAGCTTTATCATCTGACCCAGATTTTATTCCAGTATAATGAAGAACTATAGTCTCAGGTCATATGGGCTCACTGAAGAGCACCAAAACCTACCACATGCAGTACTCATCACTGCCAGACTCAAGAAGTTCCACTTACTCTGAAAAGATTTGAACACAGAGATGAATTTGTGAGATCAGTAGTTCTCTTATGTAGTTCTTTGAAACCTTCATAAACGCATGGCACATTGTCCAGAACATGTACAGAGATTTAGAAAGTACTAATGAAGTATTCAGAAGAGACATTTTTATATGTTGCAAACATTTTAATGATTACTTTTGAGCTTACACATTGGGTGCTTTTTTTTTTTAAACTTCAAACTGCAACAAGTTAAATAAATGTTTATAATATACAAAGAAAATACAACCGAAAGTAAAACTTGCTTTAAGTGTGCCTTGCACTAGGAACCAGTGTTTTTTAATAGCTTTATTGTTGAGCTGCACGAACACACTTAAGGATTTGATCTTTATAGCAGGGCATTTGAGAAATCAAAATATATTCCCACTTGAAAGAAAAAGAAGAAAAAAAAAACGATTGTGCATGATTATACGCAAAAACCCACTAAAATACTCCAATAGTGCAGGCACCATTAAAAAAGAAAAGGCTGGAGATGCCCATTAAGTCTAAATTTTAAAGGAAGCAAGTTTCTGACCAGTTAGCTTAAAGCCAGCAAAACAGGGATCAGTGATGGCAACCGTAGTGTACAGGGTATTAAAAGACAAACTTTACACAATACACTGTTAGAAATTTGTATCAGTGAACACTGAAAATCTGATGATCTGTTCTTTGGAACAGTCAAACAGAAACACCTTAATTTCCAGTTGTGCAAGCCCTTGAAGCATCACACAGTGTTCTGTGCCAATTTCTTGCTGGCTGTGTAGTTACAAGGATTTATTTTGTCATTAGCAGCTAACAAACATTCCACATTTTCCTAAAGCCTCACAGGTGAAAAAAAGGCAAGTCTCGTCAGAGCACAGCGTGGAGATCGTATTTTTTGCACACAAACACAAGAGGCTTCGCTAGTATCAAAAACACTTCCACGTGCCAGGCTGCGTGCAGCGGCTCAGTTGAGATGGAAGCCTTTCTCCATGGTAGCAGCCAGCAGACGCTCCCTCATGATCTCCTCGGAAGAATACTCAGGCAACTTTAGGTAATGCACACATGTATTCACAGATGGATAACTTGCATCTGTAGCATCAACCTGAGGAAAAAAAAGAATGTTTACTGCAGTTGTTCACAGCACTCAGTATGAAAGATAAAAGCTGTAAAGTCCTCTAATTCATGGCACTTGCTACATACCTAACACTAGTTGGCAAGAAACAATATCATCAGCAAAGCTACAGGCCAATTTATAAATACACTTGTTTTATATGTACATTAATTCTTTGATATTTAAGTATATGAATTATATATGATAAATATATATACATACATATATATATATATATATATATATAGTATCAGAGAGCAAACCTGAAACAAGAGGTTAGTATCAAAACCTTTACACAGTGCCATAAATTAAATAACTATAAGAAAATCATCACTGTTGAAGTATAAGCTCTTGCATTGCCAAACCGAAACAGCTGGTTTAAAGGGTGCTGGGGGCCGCCGTACCTTGCGCACAACAGTGAGCCGGGGGTGGAGGTTTGCTAGCCCTCCTGGTGGGAGTGTTGAACAACCAGTGGTGAACTGCAGAAAAGCCTTCCTCTCATCCGAAGACATACCACACAAGACTCTCACAAATCGAAGGAATCCAGGGCTTTAAAATAAAGTAAAATAATTAGTTCTGATAACACTACAAGAGAGAGTTAAATTTCTCTTAACTTGACACAGTAGAATTACAATCTTTAGTCATGTTTAAGCAGACATTGTAAGATTCTAGGGCCTATTGAGTATTAAGAATAAAACATCCTTAAATAAAAATAAATAGTCTTTAATCTCCTTGCAGAGTATCACACAAAAAAATGTAGGTACACAGTTATCTTGGTGTGTTATTTGGGTATCTTGCATTTGAATGCGTATGAGTGGGTAGGGAACTAGAGCTCAAACATTCCAGCAGGCTAATTCTAACACAGTTCCCGACGTAATTTGTATGTTATTGCTACCAAGCATGACAAGCAGCAAGAACAAATCCCAAACCCAACAAACCTGAAAACATCGAGACCACCTTCTGATAGCCAACCACCAGTAAGTATATTTGTCCCCTGCACACTACACTTTCATTTTTAATTACATCTCAAGAGAAAGGAGTAAGAAATATGGGCAAAGTAACAATTGTACATGGCCATAAAAAGTTATAACTACTATCAAACATGAGAATAAAAACTCTAAAATCAATTTTTAGTATCTGTATTAGCTGCCTTTATGTTTTCACTAGTTAGTTGTATTGGAATAATTTTTTTATCTTGTCTCATCACAAAACTATCAAGTACCTTGTAACCTCTCTGTTGTAACACATGGTGATTTCATGTAGTTTTAGACAATCACTTACTCTTCAGTGATCACCAGTTTCATCCAATTTGTCATCTTCATCTAATGAACATTCTGGACATTCTATCATTTAAAATGCTCTTTTAGCTACTCTTTTAATATCACTCAAAATAAAAGTACCTATCTCTTGTATATCCCAGTTTGGGTTCGGTGTAATTGATGATATCCTCAGCTGCCCAAGAAGGTGATTGATTTCCACAAAGAATCATCTGAACCTCTTCATGGCTGAAGGAACTCAGCTTCTCCATTGGAAAGACTCTATTGAAGCCATCTTTAATTTACATAAGACACAGTTATAAACATGAGTCCAAATAATGTTTATAAAATAATGTCAGCATTTAAGTTCTATTTTAGTCAAACCAGAACCAATCAGTAGTTTCTTAATTAAGGTAAATAGAACATCTTCACAATTAAAAACAGCATAACTGATGCAAAGGTATTCTGAAATTAGTATCTTGCCTGTTGCATTTTTAAGTAACAAAAATGTTTATTTTTGAAAGCCATTCTATGCCACCACTTTTAACCAGCATGCCCTAAACACCCATTATTCCACCTAACTGCATATATGCTGTTATATTTACAATTACCTCTGAAGGCCTCCATTTGTTTCTGTATACCAGTATGCATGCAGAAATCAAACATGAGATCTACGTACTCCTCTGCATTATCCATTGTTACAGTCTGCAAAGACAGTAGATAAATACTGTAAGAATTCACTGTTCATTGAAGTTGGTGTTGAGACAATAAAAATTTAACTGCTGGTTAAATTGTAAAAGTAGGTTATTTCCCTACCTCATCTTCACCACCTGGCTTGAGATCCACAGCTGTAAACCCATATACTTTGGATGAAGGGCAAAACTGAAAATTTAAACTTCAAAATACAAAGGTAGTTAATAATTGAAAACAAGTCTGCCACTGCTTTTGTAAACACACCTGATTTTCAACCGGTCACACCCAAAAGCACCTCACTGGATTCCAAACCATTGTGAGTGGCTCACTTTGAACCACTGCTCATGTATATACAAAAGCACAGAACTACAAACAGTAATGAACTACAAAGATAATATGTCTTCAAACATACAATATGCAAATACATATTCTCACTCTCTACTTATTTGGATTTGATAACCACTGAAAATTTCATAAATTTGATATCTTTAAGCTATCAACTTCAAAACTACTCAAACCATTTAATTTAGTTCATAAATTCAGATAAATAATTTCCATTGAATTCCAGCAATAACCATCACACAGACACTTAGCCTGTTCGGCACTTAGGCTCTTCAATAGTACTACTTGCTTTTTCTCTGCAACAAGCCACGCTAAATTTCAAGCCTTCTGAGAATATAAAGCTGTTACAGATCACTGACAGAAGGGCTACAAAGATGGGGAAGGGTCTAGAGAGGAAGCCAGGGGAGACCTCAATGCAGTTACAGCTTCCTGTGAAGGAAGAGGGGCAGGCACCGATCCCTGTGTGGAGACCAGTGACAG